GAGGGCCCCTCTCAGGGTCTGCTCTGGAGGCTGAACAGCCCCAGCTCCCTCAGCCTTTGCTGCTCCCAGAGCTGCTCCATCCCTTGGGCATCTCCGCAGCCTGCGCTGGCCCCGCTCCAGGAGCTCCCTGTCCCTGCTGTGCTGAGGAGCCCGAGCTGGGCCCAGCCCTGCAGATGTGCCTGCCCAGGGCTGGGCAGAGGGGCAGGATCCCCTCCCTGCCCTGCTGCCAACGCTCTTCCTGGTGCCCCCCAGGATCCCACTGCCCTCCCTGTCCCCAGGACACACGGCTGGGCAGGGACAGCTGGTTGCCCACCAGGACCCCCAGGTCCTTCTCCAGCCGGTCCAGCCTGTGCTGGTGCCTGGGGTTGTTCTTATTTGTTGCTTTAAAACCTCGTACAACATCCAAACACGTTACAGAGAGCTGAACAATGCCAGGATTTAGGTGGGGTGTGACCAGTTTAGAACAGACAAACCAGTGTCCCCAAAGCAAAGCAGGTGGCTGAGATTAAAAGGGAAAATTTCAAAACACCAAAGGAGTTAGAAATAATAAGGAAGAAACCCAAAGAGCTGGGAAGTCTGAGAAACTGAAATCAAAGTTGCACCAAAACTCACTAGCTGATTGCCTTCCTACTAAATCCCCCTCATCCCTGATGCTTGATAAACCAACAATCCCAAAGCATCAGCTTCTCCAACACAAATAAATTGGAGTCAATTGGTTTCAGCTTCTTGGTTTCAAAAAGTTAATAAACTGTAACAGTCTCCATGTCCATTCTTCTTTGTGAAAAATCTGCTTGACTGCTAAAGTGATCTCAAATTTACAAGAAAACAGTATTTATCACTGGGACCAATGAAACAGTGGTTTTTCTATATATATATATATCACTAGGACCAATGAACTTTTATTCCTGGTTATGAAAAGCAGCCCAGTAATCCATGAGAAATCACGCTGAAGCACTTTGAAACTTAACTGAGTAAAACCACCTGCTTGTCTTCAGGATTCTTGTCCAGAGGTTCAAAGAGTAACTTCAATTCTTAAGCTCACTTTTAAAAGACAGACTCACTCCAGGTAAAGGTAAAACTCGACCTGATACTCAATTCCACTGAGCTCTGGATAGGCTTTTATCTATAGCTTATATCCACAGCCCCTTGAAAAGAATAATAAGTGCTGTTTGTCTTCAGGTTATCTGCCCAGGAAAGTGCTGTTGCAGGTTTTCTGAACTAAATATTACATAGCTAAATGTTCTTTAGTTATGCTGATGATACATCCAGGATGGATATCCAGGATATCTGAAGTCCCCCTGGATATTTCTTTCTGAACACTGAACAGGGTGGATCACTGGTTACTCATATGTGGCTGGGGGTGCTACAACAACAGGAGCAGCAGGACAACTCACGCTGCTCTCGAGGCTGACAAAGAGTTAAAAACAAAGAGAAAGCAAATAAAAACGAACTGAAACCCTCAAAACCAAGGACAAAAAAAAGGCAGCAGGAAAGAAACACTTCAGCGAAGAAAAGAATGGTTTTCCTAACTGGATTTTGTCCTTGTTTTAGGGAAGGCAACAGAAAAATACATCCAAAGTTACAAGGACCAGCGATAACCACAAGGAATAGTGATAAACTCAGAAGAGCTGCTGACAAAACACTGTACAGTGGCCACTTCCCAAACCCAACACTTAAAAAGCTCACAGCTTCCAAAGCACAAGATATTTACCCTTGACTCTTTCTCCTGACACTTCACACACTTATTGCAAAATGAAGTCTCTTACCAGAGTGTAACGTTACAGCCGAGCAGCACATTCGCATTCAGGAGGCGAAATTACGCCCCCAGCACTTGCTGTGGGGGTTTTTTCCCCAAGCAGAACTCTCCCCATAAAATATGAACATGAACAATTCAAGCAGCAAAGTAAATCTCCCTCAAGGCTTTGTCCTTAGCTTGGAGGACTAACCTGAACTAGCTCAGCTGAGCACAGCTGGGATTTCAAGCCCGACCTTTCCGACAGGAAGCTTTCGCGCCACTCACCTGAACTCAGCTCCAGCACACCTGGACTCTGTCACCTGCGCCAGCAGAGTTTCCCCAGAGGCATCCCCTCCTTCCTGCCTCATATCCCCACCCTCCTCTCCTGTGCCTGGGCGGAAAAGCTGCTCTTTTCCTGGTTTTCTGCCAGCGGGCACACAGGCAGGAGCGAGTCCTTCCCCTTTCGATGGCAGCAGTGAGTTGTCAGAGCAGCTCGGCCCTGTGTTGAAACTATACCCCGAATTTCCTAATCTGCCTTTCTATTTTCAACCAGAGCCACTCCCCCCCACCTTCTCTGCCATGCAGACAGCTGGAGACAGAGAGCTCCATGGGGCCAGCTTTCCTGGCAAGAAGTCATCCCCAGGCCAGAGGCAAGTGCACCAGGGGGAGCAGAGACACTCCCAAGGTAGCGGAGAGGGAACGGGGCTGTCTCCCTTCTCCCTGTCCTCTGTGGCCACAACAGCTCTTACTGAACACACAGCGTGGCAACCTGGCTGCCCAAAGGCCCATTGCTCTCCTGGCTCAAGTAAACTGGCTGAGATCCCAATCAGCACCAAAATCTCAAAGGAGAGAGGCTTAAACAAAGATTCAGAGCGTGGACTTGGCTGCTCAGGTCAGAGAAAGAGGGACCACCCTGCCTTCTGCAAGCCAGTGCTTACCACCTGAACAGCACTTGAGAGCACTTGCTGGGGTGTTCCCAGAGCAGAGACCTGCTTCCACAAACTCACACCTCTTGGGGAAAGGTCCGGATTCATCTTCTCCTCCAGGTCTGGATATCTCCTCTCCCCCAAGGACTTGGTATTAGGTGTAACCCAGACGCACAGCAAACCCTCACGTGGCAGAACAGCTTTAAAAAGCTCAGCTTTAAAAAGCTAATGCGCAGCCAGGCTGTAAAGTTAACCAAGCAAAAAGGGCACTTTCCTGAGCAGCAAGAGGAGTTTGGAGCTTTCCCAGGCAGCTGGAAAGCACAGGACACAGGGAGCACAGGCTGTGCAGGGCACTGAGTCGTGCAGAGCCACACCAAGCAGCTTTGGGGGTTGAGGTTTTCTTTAAAGTGAGGTCCAGCTTTCTGAGCTCTGCTCTCAAAGGTCTTATTAGGACCATCAGGAGATGCCTGAAAGTCTTGTAGGACACCAGGCCCACCTTTGGATAAGACAGCCAGGCTGAGAGCTTGGCACCTAAACAGACACAGCTTGGGGAGGGCAAGGCACAAGTGCAACGCTGATTCAGGGAGCTCGGAGGTCAGCTGGAAGTTTTGAGTCACACTCCTGGACGTGGGCACCTAGAACAAGCTTAACCCCTTCTTGAGCCCTTTTTCTTTTGTTCAGGCAATGGCTGCAAACATCACAAATGCAGCTACTTTTGCTGTTCTCCATGTGCTATGTATTTTCTATAGTTCAAGTTACCTGCTTGAATTAGATTCATTGCAAACACGATCGATCAAACAGCGAACGCAGACAGGACTCTGCAGACTCTAAGTACTCAAATACCACAGGGAAATCCATTTCTTACGTGCCTACAGAAACAAAAGTCAGCCAAAACAGAAGGCTGGTGTGGAACTGAGCACAGCAAGATCCACAGCAAACCTTCCCAGGTCAGATTTGAATCACGGGATCCAAGGAAACAAAGCTGCGAAGTAAAACACTCCATCAGCCATAAACTCATTTAAAATGAAGTTTCATTAATGAGTTACAGTATTTACAGGTAAGTAAATGCTGTGTTTCCCCTTTGCCTTAGCTGGAGCTGCTCTCTCAGGAAAAATAACACAGGGAGCAAGTCCTCTCCCACCATTAATCCACTGGACAACACGACTTTATTAAACCAGCACAGAAACCAGAGCAGCAGCAAACACCCACACACGAAACCAAGACCTGCAAGTAATTTCACTTCTTACCTCCTGGAAAACAGGAGTTTCAGGGGCAAGAAACCTCTTTAGCAGCTTTTCCAAGCACCTGGCCCGTGGGTTAATGATTTACCTGACAGCGCTGTAAGCAGATTAGTTTGGATAAGAGAGGTTTTGTTATGGTTTGCTTTCCTGCCTTTGTCTGCGTAACCAAATCGACTCACAAACGAAGGAGGCAGAGCAGGAAGAAATTCATACTCCTCTAAGCTTGCTTACCCCATCCTGCTTTACAAAACCATTTTTTTATAGACACACATGCCCATATACACACACAGACTGAAAACCAATGCCTGGAGTAGCTCTTGTGCCTGTGCATATACACAAATATACGTGTCAAAAATACACACAAAGATGAGCTACTGCAGGCAGCTTGTTTAGTTCCTTATCACTATAAATCTATTAGAAAGCTTCCAGATTAAAGCATTGTGTTCCAAAGGGGTTTAGGATGAGAAGGAATGGCAGCTGTGCCCAAAACACACAAATAGGATCACAGCCCATGCAAAGACTATCCAAGGCACAGCTTAGCAATAAAGTGCTGTTCCTTCTTGCTGCAGCACCTTCAGCTCACCAAGAGGATTTCTGTGGTTTCCCCGTGACTCACTGGGCTCTTCTCCACACCCAGGGCCACCCTCCTCTAGAACCAAAGCATTCAGGTTTTTGGGCAGCGGGTGACACACAGGGCAGGCACAGCCACATGGCACTGCCTCGGTACAGCTGCTATAAAACCTCACACAAAGTCTAAAACACCTTCTTTATGAAACCATAAACCCTCACTGCCTGACTCTGGACACAATTCAGGGGGACAACACAGGGGTAACTCACTGCTGTCCCAGTTTTAAAAAAACCCCAAGCTAAACTAAAAACTAAGACTAAACCCAAGCAGCAAACAAGAGACCAACCACAAGTTTAACTGTCACTTTAAGAAAAAAAAAAAAAAAAAACACAAAACCACCCAACCAAAAAACCAACCAACCGAGCCCCCAAAAGTAGATCTTACTGTATCCAAGTCCTCCTGCTCCCAAAGCACAGCCCAACACGCCTTTTAACTAAAACAGGATCACCCAGAGCCGGAGAGCTACTCACTGGTGGAAATCAGGCGGCGGAAAACAGCAGCCAAGTTCTCCCCTCCCCAGCTGCCAGCCAGACACTCCCGGCAGGACCAGAGGGACGCGCGGAGGAGCCTCTTGGAGCCGAAGCGTCCCGGAGCCCGGGATCTCACCCGAGGATCTCGCCCAACTTCCTTCACATTAAAACATTAAAAGTTGCCTTTCGACTTTCCCGTGGCCAGGCTTCGTCAGAGCTTCTCTTCCCGCTGCTCGCCGGGAAGCGCCTGGAAAGGGAAAGCGGGAGAGGTGAGCGGTGCACAGGAGGCGACGGAGAGAACTCCCCCCTTGGCCATCACCCCTGTGCGTCAGCAGGGACAGCAAAGGAGGAGGAGGAGGAGGAGGCTGGGAGCGCCAGCACGGCCACAGGGCTGCAGTTTCCAGCTGGTGCAACACCTAAAACGGGGGGAGATTTATCCTGTAAATTCAGGTGTGTCGGTCCCTAACGCCTCGAATCAGCACTGCTTTTGAAAGGCTCAACGTGACACTGTGAAGCTGAAAGTGTCACAGGGCAGGGAGGAAGGATTCATTTTCCCAATATATATAAATACCAGATGTTAAGTCCTACTCTAAAACCAAAAAATCCTCCACGACAACAGGAAAAAAAAAAAGGTCGTATTTCACCACACTAAAAGGAAACCAACGAATTTCCTCGAGCTTCCAATGAAGTTTTTGGCTACATCCCACTGCTGCCACCAGCAGCATCACCAGTATCCAGCCCCTATCCCAAAAAACACAGCAAGGACTGGAAGCACGGAGGGCTGAGGCAGCCAGCACATCCTGCACACAGATACAGAGGGAGAGGACGGTGCTGAGCATCCCAGGGAATATGGGAGGGAGCAGAGGATATCTGCTGGTTGCTGCCTTCATGTAATTTAGGACAAAACCACAGCACAGAGCAGACTGAGCCCCATGTTGGAAAGCCTGCTGGGATGAGCAGCACTGCCAGGGTGTCTTCCAGCAGCTCACATGGGAGCAAGGACTGCACGGAGCCCGCTGGCCGCTGTACACAACAGAGATCCTGTCCAGGAGTGAAGTCAGAGGTGCAGGGAGCAGCCTGATCCCACTCCACAGATGAAATCATGTGGAAAAAAAAAAAGAAAAAAACCAGGCACCAGCACGAACAAATAGCAGCATTGGATTTTCTGAACTCCATCCCAAGAGAGGGAGCCTGTTGCCAGGAACACCGAGGAATCTGCGGAGCCACATCGAAGAAACGCAGGGTGGAAAAAGTATTTTCAGAAGCCTCGCACAGAAATCCTTCCACGCTCCTCTTGTCACACAGAAAGCAAGGATTTTTAAGGAGTTTTTTTCCAGGGCTTTCTTAATAGATCCATGTCCTTGTTCCTAACACAGGGGACAGACAGTTATCCAGTGCAACAATGTGTTCACCATCAGCTCCTCCATAAAGTCCAGAAGCCTAAAAATGGCCCATGGTCAAGTCCAACTTGGCCCATTTTATTTAAAATCTGAGGAGAGATGGGAAGTGTGGATGAGCCACCAATAAGTTCCCTTTCTCCAGAGGTCTTTTAGTAATTGAGCCCTGCAACACTCAACAGATGCATCTGCCTGACCTCGCCCTGCTCTGCAGGAGGGATTCTGGAATAAAACTGGTGATTACTCATTACCTAAAGATTTCTGAGGTGTAATTCTATCAGTGCCAATTCTGTAAATCCCTCCCACTGAGGGCAGATGCGAGGAATCGAAGGATTCATTGGAAAAGACACTACAGGCCACGGTTTCCTCGCTATGCAGTGTCTGCTTTGGGGCATCACACACATCACGGGACAGCAGAAGGCACCTGGTAAGCACAGGGGCCAACTTAATAACTCCCTTCTGACAATGACTGAGTTCATACTTGACAGAAATGCTCTTTTGTTACTCCAGCAGATCTTATCTCAGCAATATTCCCCCCCTTGCTCCGGGACTGTGTGAGTTCAGTGACCTCAAGGCACGTAACAAAGCCGGCCCTGTTTTCCCACGAGTCAGGTGGGGCCAGGAGGGAGAACAGAGGACAGTTTGACGAGTATTACGGGTAATTAAAAGCAAGTTTTGGGAACACCTTCTCAGCCACGATGCATTTACATGCTGCATGTGTCCAGACAGATACAACAGAACACCCTGTAAAGCCCTAAACAAACAGAAACACAATGAACTCTTCCACGGGACGTGCAAAGAGGTGGCTTTTTCTTCCCTCCTACACAATTCAGCCAGGACATATTTAGCCTGAGGGCTGAAACAGAGGACAGCCTGAGCTGCTGACATCATTTTCTTTCTATAGGACTGAATATCTGGGAGTGCTGCTCTCACTTCAGTGGCTGTTGCTCTGTTTCATCTCCACTGTGCTTCAACAGGAGAGGGACAATCACCACAAAAACCCCTGGAGAAGAGGGATGGTCACCAAGTGTTGATCTGTTTGCTCCTTTCACAACCACGACATCAGCAATGTGACACAACACCAGATTTGGGGTTGATCACTAGCATTGAAGAGAAACAGAGCTACTACCAAGCTCCAGCACTGATGTTTCTTATCATTCAAGCACTGGCAAGAGAGCATCCCTCCAAAAGCCTTGCTGGGGAAAGGCTGTCCTTGCCTGGACAGCTTAAAATCTACCTAAACATCACAAAAAGTCACATTATATTGAGCCCACTTCTTCCCTACCCATCAGTAAAGAAACTGCACATTAGCAGGTGGAATTCAGCACTGAAGGTGGCAAGTAAAGTCTAGTGCAAGCAGTAAAAAACTACTCATGGTTACAGAATCACAAACATTCAGGTTGGAAAAGACCTCCAAGACCATCAAGTCCAACCTGTGACAAATTCTCTTCAGGGAGAAGCAATTTAGCCTTAACCACAAAGGGACTACCTTTAAAGGAAAACAAATCTCACTGCTCACTTAAAGGAAACAAATCTCGTTGCTTATTATTTATACCAAGATTATTATTCCTTCCAGCTGCAAGCTGAGTTTTTAAACCAATTTTCTTGAGCTGAAATGTCTTTGTAAAGAAGGCACAAAAATCAAGGACACTGTTAAGTTTTGAACAGCTCTGGCAGAGACCTTTCAGCACGTTTGCTTTATGGTGCAGAAGTCACAGAATCACAGAATTCCAGAATAGTTTGGGTTGGAAAGGACCTTAAAGACCATCTTGTTCCAACCCCCTGCCACAGGCAATGAAGCCCTTTTTATTCAAGACTTTAAAATACCCACCAGGGGAAAAATAAAAAAAGCATGCAGTGGATACCCCCAAAATATCATCTTTCCTACTGAAAAATAACATGATTATTTACTATTACATATAATAATTATTATTATTTCACCTGTATAACAGCATTAACAGCCATTACAACTTCTTAAATGCAAGGCTGTTAACGGACAGTCGCTTTGGAACTTAAAAAAAAAAACATTAAATTGACTTTAATGGGGTTCTGATGGACACTAAAAACCATTTAACAGTTGAGTTTGAAATCTGCGAAGCATTATCAAAATAACTTCCAGAAGTGCCAGGTTAAGTGTTTAGGTGTGTTTGATGACACAAGGGGAGATTCCAGAGTGCTGATGTGCTCATCAGCTCCAGCAATTAAGATTCCCGGGAGGAATGCTGTGTCATGTAACGTGTGACTCACAGAGCAACGTCCGGAGGAAACCACACTCCCCTCTCTTTTCCTATAAAAAGCTCAGCCTGCTTTCAAGTTGAACTGAGTTCCCTGAACAGAATTCCCCCCTTTTCAGCATCACTCTCTTGAGCACGTGTGCAAGAGCCAAGGTGTGCTTTAAATCCCTGGCAGCAAACCAAGGGCTTCCAGAAAAATCAGCTGGAAACTCCCCCTGGCTCCTCCTTCCTTAGGAAATACTTTTGTGTCGCTGTGTTTGGACACGTGTCTGTCCTCTGACCCCCAGTCACGGGGCTGCTCCCTGTTGCGACAGCTCTGAGGGATCACACACACCCTCCCCGTGACTGGAACCTGGAAAAAGGGATGGCAGGAACAGCACTGGGATCCCCACACATCCCAGAGGTCCACCAGGACATGGGATCTCTGGTTGTCAGTGAAGTGAGAGTCTTCACGCCTGGACACTGGTGTTGTCCAAGCCACACAAGCAGCTCCTGCAGTTCCCATCTAATCTTTGCCAGTGGATAAAATCCACCGCTTTGCTCATCACATGTGCTTCCCTGGGCTGCAGGACATCTCCAGCCTTCTGCTCCTCCTGATCCAACACTGTGGTTGACATTTAGATCCTGGGAGAAACACCTGGATTTCCTCAGGGGTGGCTCTGAACACCCAGCACTTCTCCAAAGGCCAGAGCAGAGGAAAACACAGTGCCACGCTGGAATGGCAACTCACTCCCACACAGGGGATGTGCAATCACACACCCAGTCCAAAGCAAGCGTTTAATACCTCATTTTAACCTGGAAGAGTGAAGCTTTCCATGAAAGAGAAAAACAGAAACAATACACTCTTTTCAAACTCACCCACTCAACTAAAAGGACATTTTTTCACAGGGCAGGGTGTTATTCCCAAGTGAACTGCATCCCACATCCAGCTGCAGCACTGCCAGCTTGGGAAGTGCCACCCCTATTCTTTGATCCACTTATTTTGTCCTCTGAGAAAAGTCTCATTACCCAGCTGTGTTAAAATCCTCTGGTTAAGGAAGTCACTGCCTCAGAATGCCAGTTTGGGTGTATTTCTTCCAAACCCAAAACTTCAACCCAAAGGCCTCTGATCACAGATTGGTTCCTCACCAAATGCTGTAACGGGACACGGACTGGTGTCCCACTGGTTTGTCCATCAAAACAGTTAATTCCTTTCCTGTTTGCCCCACACCTTGCTACAAGGCTGCTGGGTTTGTACACCAGCAGTCTGGCACAAACCAGGTGCTCTGGCACCTTGACAGACCAAGCTGGCCATTCCCAGGGACATGGCATGGAATGACAGATGCCAGCTGCTGTTGTCACCCAAGGAGCAACCAAGAACCTCCCAGGGAAAAAGCCTTGCTTGGTTTAAGTATGGCTTTGCTGATGCTATCTCTGGCTCTTCAAAGGAATTTTTTACTAATCTGAAATTATCTAAAGGAAACAACACTTTCCAGTTGAGCAAAATTAGCATTTCAGAAAAAAAAAAAACAAACCCCAACCAACCAGAAATAAACTCAGCCAAAAACTAAAGCAAGAGTTTACACAGGATGATGTTTCTCTTTACACAGGATGATGTTTCCTGCTACAGGTCAATG